TTTGAGTCTGTAGTGAGTCCCATTCCCACCGGAAGTGGTTTGTAAACAGTGTCCTGACTGCTCCAGAGATCACTCGTTGTCAAGCAGTAAGAATTCGTTAAACACTCTAACACGAATCTAACAATAATTCGTTCTCATAGGACTGTATCACTTGGAAACGATGTCATCATCTCAGAAACGTGACTCAGTTTAGCAAATATTCGTTGAGCGCAAATGTCAGCCGGGCCCTAGGCTCTGAGGCTGTCCAGGTGGATGTGACCCAGGCCCCCGCTCCAGGCCACCCGGGTGTGACTCCAGGCCCCCACTAACGTCGATCATCGCTGTTCAGGGGTCGCGACACGCCAGCTCCTCCCCCGATGGGTTCTGCGTCGGAGCCCTGACCGTCGGAGCCCTGGGGAGCAGCCGCCTCGGGGTGCGGCACGTTGCTTATCCGCTGCGCCGCGTCGCTCAGCCCAAAGAGAAGGCGCCTGGGCCTGACCGTGGAGGGCTGGCGGGTGAGAACGGGAGGCACTTTTCCAAAGTCTTCAGAACTGTGTGTCTCCCGTGCTTCTGTCGGGATGAACTGTCCGCCTTTTATTAGCTCAGTCTCACGAGTCAGTCAGCAAACACATGGCTCCCTTCCCCGGAGGTGACGGGTCGAGCAGGTCCAAGAAACCCAGACGGAAAACAGGGAGCGATGGCCGGAAAGACACTGCTGGGCAAGGGGCGGAAAAAGACGGACCGGAGAAGCGTCTCCATCAAGACACCGTGCGTGTCCACTGCTGCGCAGGAGGGACCTCGCGCCCCGCGAGGGAGCCACGGGCACGGGCGAGCGTTCGGCGGGGCAGCGGGCCGGCCGGTCTCAGGCGTGAAATGCCTGTCGCCTGGACAGCGGCCGCTCTACTAGATCCATGTCCAAAGCGAGCGCAGGCTTTGCTCACCTGGAGCTTCCGGCGTGGACACGGCTCGCGGGGCAGTGTCTGTAGAGCTCGGCCGCACCGCGGCGGCGTCTGACGACGGAGCAGAGGACGAGAGGCCGGCCGCAGGCGCCCCTGACGCCCTGTTTGAAGAGAACACGAGGACTGGGCTTGGGCGGGCGAGGCACAGGGGGATGAGGCGGCGACCGTTCAGTCCCCATTTAAAAAAAAAAAGCATTTGCCCCCGAAAGACTCCATTACAGGTTCCTATTGTGAGGCCCCGCTTTGCATTCAAAGTATTATTCAATTTACAAAAAGAAAAAGGGAGGAAGTTGGGGGGTTTGTACACACCAGGCGAGGCCCCCGTAGCCGGGGAGGCCACGCGTGTCGGGAAGTTGGGGGGCTTGTACGTACCAGGCGAGGCCCCCGTAGCCGGGAAGGCCACGCGTGTCGGGAAGGGCCTCCAGTGGTGTGGAGTCACCGGAATTCTGGGTTGATCTTCGGAATGACAAAAACAACAGCAACAGCCACTATTAAACCACGTGAGGCACAGGCTGCGGCCAAGGACGGAGACGTCTGAACGAGAGCCCCGGCCTCTGAAAGCTGTGGGGAGGCGAGCGGCAGGGGCCACGGTCCCGAAAAGTTGTGCTTCGTGGGGGCGGGGGGCGGGGAATGAGCCCAGTTAATCCATCCTGTAAAAACTGTAAGTTTAAGAAGCGTTTCAGGAGTCATGGTTCCTGCTCTACAGCTGACTTGTTAACTCTCGATCCCAGGAAACGGTGTTAATGACGCGGCCGCCGCCAGCGATCGCCACTAAGGCTTTTTACGGGACTTCGCCTTGCAAGGTTCGTACAGGGTCCGATCTCCCGTTTAAACACAACCAGGGACAAGTTCAGTCGCCTGTTTCCCAGCAGCTGGACGAACGTCCTCGAGAAATAGCTGCCAGGGCTGGTTAACTTAGGTCCTGGATAAAGGGCCATTACATCTCCATTTAAAAAAAAATCGTAACCATAATTCCTTCTTCACAAAGTAGGCCCCGTGACCAGTGCCGCTTGTTTCGGACCCGCGTCTGAGCCGGCGGGTGACCCTGGAGCCATCGCCTGCTCTGAGGAGGCAGCTCCGTCCCCAAAGGAAGGAAATGCGTTTCCTGAGCCTCGGGAACCAGAAACCAGCCGCTTGGCGCCTTCGCTTGAGCAAAGGCTGAGGGCAGACAGGAGAGGGGACGCTAAAACGAGGCCCTGCGAACAGCCACGCGCCCCGGCCTCACGCCCCTGAGGAATCCAGACGACGAGGAGCCCGAACACCTGTCCGTCAGAACCCCCACTTTATCCCTCCCCCCACCACACGCTCGAAAATGAAAACGACGCAGTGACGGGGTCGCTGGCTCCAGTGGCCGGAGAAAGACACAGCGCTGATGGCACGCGGGGGGCGATGAGGGGGCGACATGGAGTCCGTCCGTGCAGCGTCCCCCCCAAGCTTAGCCGTGTCCGCAAACGCGTCAGCCGAGCAGCCCGTGTGGACGAGGGGGAAGCTGCTCAGAGGCCGTCCTGGCCCCGGCAGGGGAGGGAACAGAGACGGGGCCTGAACTCTGGTCCCTGGGGTGGCCTCAGTCACCGAGTCTGGGAACAGTGCCGGGGCTGCCGAGGGCTGAGACGCACGGCCGCAGACGCCGCCAGCCCGCCAGCCCGGAGCACAGGCTTCCGCGGGCATCGCCGCCACATAAACACCGTTCATCACGGATGCAACTTCCCCAGGACCTCCAGGAATGACTGATGCTTCTTTCCATTCACCTCCATGATGGATGTGGGAGTTTCTCAGAGGCAGGTGTTTTCCTGCCTCCATTTTTGTTCAGTTATTGAAAAATCGAAGCTCACAGAAGTTAAACACAACCCTGGACAATACAGTGAATCGTCGCAAACAACACCGCCCCTCCCCCCGATTTCTGTCAGTTTCTCTAGAGCTCGTCTGTGCTGGATTTTCCACTCGGAGAATAAATGTGCGACCAGAGGTAGGGATGCCAGATTTAGTAAACAAAAGAGACAGGATGCTCGGCGAAGTGTGAATTTCAGATAAACAACAAATACGTTTTTACGATAAATACGTCTTCCGCAGTATTTGGTACCGACGTTAAAAATGTTCACTGTGCATCTGAACCTCACATTTAACTGGGTGTCCCACATTTTATATGAAACCCGAACCAGGAGGAGAAACTCGCTCCCTCGAGTCCAGCGAAACCAAAGGGTGAGCGCTCGTCCTCGCTGTCGAGCACTGACTCTGTCCGGGCCCAGGCTTCGTCACGCTCCTCCCCCAAACCGCGGCCACGGCCTAGCCCGGCCTCTGCACGGGGGCCCTTCCCCTGGAAGTCACTTGGATGGAGCGTCGGGGGCCGCATCGCATGGGCCTGACACGGACGTCTGTGTAGTGGGCAGAAGCACCTAGTCACCGCACTCCCTCTGGGCCCACGTCTGTCCTCTCCGTCCAGGCCGCAGGAGCCCAGTGTCAAGCCCCTGCCCAGGCTGACGGACGGGGCACAGATGGACCCCGCCCCAGCTCTGCCCTCCAACGCTCTGGATTTCCTGACACACAGGGCCTTTCTCTTCCAGTCGGGGAGCTGTCAGTACTGATTTTTAAGCATTTAGCTAAGATATTGTTATTCTTAATTTTGGCATTTCAAGCAAAAAAAAAAAAAACACAGCGTTTGGCACTTAGTGTATAGTACATGTTTGTGGAATGATGAGTCAGAGTGAGAGAGAGCACCGTTCCCACTGGACCAGGGGGACACGAACCCTCTTTGCGATGCTAACTGCTCCAGCAGAAAGCGGCTCCAGCAGGATCAAGAAGGGGCTGCTTACTGGGGGGGCCCTTTCCTTCCCCCCGATTGCCGGTTTTCCTTGCTCACTGCCACAGTGCTGGAAAGGTGGCCGGCATCCTGTGCTGGGTTAAATTTGGGTTCAAGCCAACTGAACTGGGAGTGACAAAGTCAGAAATGAGAGCACCTGGCGTCCTTCCTAACAGGTGCGGGACGTTTACCGAATGGAAGAATGAATGAATGAATGAGTGATTGAATGAATTAGATGGAAAGTGGCCATCCGTGTCTCCACTGGGTAAACCTCAGCTGGCACTTTACAGCTCCACCCACCACTGCCCCCCGCCCCCCAAAATCCCACGTATCACAAGAAAGGTCAAGGAGAGCGTGGCTATTGTGTTAAGAGGGAGTTTCAATCATGTCACAACTGGCTGCGAAACTGTGCATTAGCTCCCTGCGGCCGCTGGGAGCCCTCCAAATGCCGGGTGGCTCGAGACGCCGGCAGGGTGTCCCTCCCCGCTCCGAACGCCGTGTGTGGGCAGAAGCTGTCCCCCGAGACGGAGGCTGAGGCGGAATCCCGGCCCCTCCCGGCTTCTCGTGGGTGGCCGCGGTCCTCCCCGCTCCCTGGTCCCCGGCTTGCCCTGCATCGCTCGCCTCTGTCATCACATGGCCCTGTCGTCACACGGCCCTGTCGTCACACGGCCCTGTCGTCACTCGTCTCTGTCATCACACGGCCCTCTCCCCGCAGGCCTGTCCTCGCCTGGCACTGTCCCCTTCTTACGAGGACGCCGGTCCCATGGAGTAGGGCTCACTCTAACGAGCACATTTTCATTTGATGACATCCGCCCAAACCTCATTTCCAGGCACCTTGTTACGGTACCAGGGTTAGGACCTCAGCATAGCTTTCTAGGGGGACTCAGTTCGACCCACAATACTAAACGTCAGAACTATGCGTCACACACCAGTTATTCTACAGAACCCACCGGTTACAGGGAAATGTCGTCGCCCAGTCTGTGTCTCGTAGGAACCAGTCTGCCGGAACTCGCTCTGACTCGTGAAAACTTCGACTGCAGCACCGTCCACAGCGCTCGCTCAATGACGTTTTCTGAGTTAAATGCACGAGTAAACGCACCACCAAGCTGACAGGCGAGCGAGAAGCAAGCACAGAGCCATCGCTGGCGAGCACGGTCACGCACGGACGGACCACGCCCACTGGACCTACGACGAAGGCGACCCAGGATCTGTCGCCATGGACAAGGACAAATGCTGCCGACGCAACTTCACACGAGGATTCTTACCTCTGGGGACTGCGCGTGCAGTGAGAACTCGCTTATTCGGTTGCCGACGGCTACCACACGTCCGTTTACGCGTGACAGCGAACAGGACACAGAAGCACTGTAAACGGTGAGGTGTTTTAAAAGCCTTCGAGTTGGGCGTCCAGCGTTCCTGAGCCATGTGGGGCACAGCTGTTTCACACAGGGTCACCGTCCGAGCCGGGAAGACCAGGCTGGGCCCAACCCTGTCTTACCAGCGAGCTCTACCGCGGGCCCCGCCACACTCCTTCCGTAAATGTGGACGCTGTTCCTTTATCATCTGAAAAAAAGGAGCAAGAACAGTTTCCAAAAACAGCCGAACTCGTTTCACTCTCAAGCGATCCGGATTATTGGGCGACTGAAGGTGCAGGGCTGGTCGGGCCGCGAGGGTCTGACACGGGATGTAAGCGGACGCAGCTCACTCTCGAAGGGAAAGCTGGCGGTGTCCGTGAAAACATGAAGCATGTACCTTTTACCCACCAACCTCACTTCTAGAATAATAACTTACGGCAGCAACTCTTTAACTTCCTGGTTTCCAAACCACTTTACACTCGAAAAGTTACCGAGAATCCCAAAAGTTACTGATATTTACCGCATTAAAAATTTAAACCGAGAAATTTAGAAGCTATCACATCATGAAAGAATAAGCTCATTGTATGATGCTATAAATAACACAGCTTTACTCAAAAATTACATCTTCAAAAGCATTACTGAAAAGAGGACATCGTTTCACACTTTTGCAAATCCCTGGCCTGAGAGAAGGCACCTGGACCGCCCACGTGTGCCCGCGTCCACCTGTGCGCCACGGTGTTTGGCTGACGGCTGTGGAGGAAACGTGGTCGCCCTCCAGGGAGAAGCCCCTCGCAGCCTCCGGGGGTCAGAGTCGCAGGGCGCGCTTCGAGGAGCAGCGTGACGCAGATGGACCCCATGTGTGGGAAGGCTCGCACGGGCCAGGTTACTCGCCGAGGCTGTTGGCACCAACTGAAGATGAAGCAGTGTCCCTGGGGAGGGCAGATAAAGTAAGTGACGGAGGAATCCTGTGCGACCACCAGCATCGACGATGCATCACGTGGGCTGATACAAACCCGCAATGCATCACGTGGGCTGATACAAACCCGCAATGCGTCACGTGGGCTGATACAAACCCGCGATGCATCACGTGGGCTGATACAAACCTGCGATGCGTCACGCATGATACAAACCCATGATGCATCACGTATGATACAAACCCACGATGTGTCACGTATGATACGAACCCGCGAACCCGCGATGCGTCACGTATGATACGAACCCGCAATGTGTCACGTGGGCTGATGCAAACCCGCGATGTGTCACGTGGGCTGATGCAAACCCGCGATGCGTCACGTATGATACGAACCCGCGATGCATCACGTATGATACAAACCCGCGATGCGTCACATGGGCTGATACAAACCCGCGATGTGTCACGTATGATACAAACCCGCGATGTGTTACATGGGCTGATACAAACCCGCGATGCGTCACGTATGATACAAACCCGCGATGTGTCACATGGGCTGATACAAACCCGCGCTATGTCACGTATGATACGAACCCACGATGCATCACGTATGATACAAACCCGCGATGTGTCACATGGGCTGATACAAACCCGCGATGTGTCACGTATGATACAAACCCGCGATGCGTCACGTATGATACAAACCCGCGATGTGTCACATGGGCTGATACAAACATGATACGAACCTGCGATGCGTCACGTGGCCTGATGCAAACCCGCGGTGCATCACGTATGATACGAACCCGCGATGCGTCCCGTGGGCTGATGCAAACCCGCGATGCGTCACGTGGGCTGATGCAAACCCGCGATGTGTCACGTGGGCTGATGCAAACCCGCGATGCGTCACGTGGGCTGATGCAAACCTGCGCCAAAGCATCAAGCGTCAGCATGGGGAAAGGAAAGGTGCGTTAAGAGCAAAGTAAAAAGTAAGCTGCAGCGGAATTCGCAGTCTTCTGTCACTTACGTGCACACGCACGAGTGTGTCAGGAAGGCAGTGCATGAAAATGGTAGCGATGGCTCAGAGCTGGGTCACTGGTCCTGGACGGGACGGGGCGGGGCGGTGGGGGGACTGGCGCTCTTCGTCGTACCCCGTCACATGCAGGCATCATCTGGTGACTGCTTAGCGTACACGCGACTTTTATCCTAGTTTTGCAAGGTCGTTCTGAGGACGGCAT